TCCCCACGGGCTTACTCCTCACAGCCGGGGGGAGAGGTCGTCTTCTGGGCCCTCCCAGGTGGCAGGCAGATCTCACCTGGCATCCTTAGACCCCTCGATTTGAGTTGGCCGGGTGCTTCATTATGGAGGGGCTGGAAGGGAGGTGCTCCTCTGAACATCATCTCGGTGGGCGTGGACGCATTGCCTTGCCACTGATGTGATGAGAAGCCCCATCGCTGGGCTAGGGGGTGTCTGCCAGGGTTTCCATGCGACGTTACCCTTTTCCCAGTTCTTAACTAACGGCCACCGGCAGGAAGCTACTCTGAGCCGCGCAGATAACTTGTTTCTCTTCAGCGTGGGTCCAGCGCCTGCGCCTGTCAGCAGACACTCCCTGCAGCAACGAGTACCGCGGCGTTCTGACGGCGAATTCCCTTTCCCTCTCCTTCTGCCCCAAGTAACCAGAATTCTTCTGTGAGAGCAAGCTGCTCATTCTGGTTGCTTCATTTGTGCGGTGGCGAATGTGACTGTGGACCCCACACTGCCTTCATTCTGCGGGTGACGAGCCCGTGTTCCAGCGACTGCCTCCGCTGCTGAAGCAGGCCTCTCTGCCCCGAGGGGCTGCCTCCTGGGGCCTTGGGCAAACTTCCTGCCTTCTTGGACCACGTCCTTATTACCTGACCCCACAGGAGGCTGCCCTGGGTGAGCGCAGTGCTCTTGCCCAGAAGCTACTCTCTTCTCCAGGGCCCTGGCTCCTTCGACTGGAGAACAGTGTTGAGAACCAGGATCTGGCAGTGGCTGTGATTGTGGGTCGGGAGGCGGCAAGTTTGCAGGCTCTCTGAGTGGACGGCCTAGAAAGACTCCTGCTGCGTGCACACCTACTGCCTATCCGCCCACAGCTCTCTGTGTCTCCCTTCTGTCTGTCTCCATCTGCCTGGAGCCTGCTGTTGGATACCCGGGTCAGAGACGCTATGTTATGTGGCAGCAGCTGACCTATGCATGCGGCAGGGACTTCGCAGACACGCTGCCCGGCTCCCTGGCCAGCTGGCCCCCCGGAGGCACTGCTGGAAGGTGGGAAGGGGAGGGAAGGAATTTCTGTCCCTTTTCTGGCTTCTTTCGGATTCCCTGCCTTCACCCAGGGTGGCTCCCGCCGCAGTCTCAGCTCTAGGGCAGTCCCAGCCCCGCTGCGCCAAGCCCTCCCAGAGGCCCCTCCTCTCTGCCGGCTCCTGCAGCTCCCCCTGCCCTTGTGCTCCCCCAGCTGCCCCCTGCTGCTCCTCGGGGCTCCCTGTGGTCCTCACAGCCTCCGGCACCTGTGTGGCCGGTTCTCTGTGCTGAGTCCCCTGTGTTTGAAATACACAGTGTGGTTTCATTTTCCTGACGGGACAGTAACTGACCAGGGCGGATTTCCAGGGTCAGTCCAGGGTCCAAAGGCAGGAAGGAGACTGGAGAGCAGGGGAGGGGCTGAGCTCACCTGAGGGGTCCCCAGGGCAGGAGGGGGCTCACAACTTACGGGGCGCTGGAAACGGCAGGAGCTGAACAGCTACACGGGAAAGAGGAAGGGAGAGTCTCACATCTGTGCCCTCAGGTTCCAGCTTCAGAAATTCGAGAAGCAAAAGGGCACGCTCAGATCCCAAGTAAGCGGAAGACAGGACTGTCACGGACAGGGTGACGCAGGGAAGAAGGGAAGCCCTGGGGAGGAGCGCAGCGAAGCCCACGGCGGTTCCCCGAGAGGATCAACGAACTGACAGCCTCCCAGCAGGCGGAGAGCGGACGGGAAAGGAGACAGAGGCTACCAGTGCAGATGCGAGCGGCGACACCACTGCAGGGCCCACAGGGCTTAAGGGGGTGATAAGGGAGCACTGTGAACCGTCTTCTGCCAATAAATTTGGCAGCTTGGACGCAGTGGGCAAATTCCTTGAAAGACGTGATTCGCCTGAGCCCACTCAGAAAGAAGAAATGACTCGCACGGCCTTACGTGTTAAAGACATCGAAAAGGAAGACGAAACCCGGATCCTGCCTGCAGAGAGACCCCCGGGCCCTGACGGCTTCACTGCGAGCTCCATCAAGCATTCGAGGAGGAGGAGACCAGCTCTGCACAGAGTCTGAGGACGGCTGGAAAGGAAGGACTGTGCTCTGCCCCTTTCCGTCAGGCCAGCGTGACGCTGACGCCAGCGCCACCAACGACCCCCCAGGGGAAGAGCCGGAGCCCGAGACCCCCATGGACACAGGTGCAAAGTGTCTAAACGGAGTTTTAGCAAATCGAATCCAGCAACAGGGGAAAATCACGAGCAAATGGTTTTTCCTCCCGGAATACAGGGTGAGTTTAACATCCATAAGGCGGCATCGGTCGCAGTGCTACCAGACTGAAGAAGAACACGCAGATGGCAGCGTCGATAGATGCAGAAAGAAGCACGTGCGGGAGCTCACCGCTGCTTCCTGGTGACGTCCCTCAGCAAACTGAA